GGGGGGGGGGGGGGGGGGGGGAGAATTCTTTTACCGACATAAGTATTAAATTGATTTGTCACAAAAGTCATCAAGCTTAATACATTCAACTTCTGAATATAAATTTTTCATAGTTGTGATTTTAAGCCTGGTGTTGTGGATCTTAATAGATCCTGGTAATGAACAGAACTTAATTGACGGATATATGAACAGCTGATAATCAATTAACACCATCCAGTTATATTACATTAATTTATGATATAGTTTAGTGTAAAAACTGCTGTGCATTCCATTTTTTGTTTGTAAGTTCATATGTGAACTAATTCACTGACACAGCAGATCACTGTACATTAACAATTTAAAATGCCAGATTCATTGCAAGATTTTTGCTGTACTGGGCGAAAAAAGTGTCCCATTAACTCCGAACAACACCCATGGCAATTTTGTATACAACCAGAAATGAAAGAAAACGTATCTGGTTTCCTGCTTTTTATACAACGACCGTCTCTTATACACAAAACATTTCTCTATTTAAAATTCAGGGGATTCATTCATATTTACAAAAGTGTGAAGGGTGCTTTAAATTTCAAGCTTTAGATAATATCGTTTTCCTGTACGGTAACGTAACTATCAATTAAACGCTACACCCCTATTTTGCGAAATGGACTCGTCCAATCCAGATATCAAAGTTCACGTTTCTCCGCTAGAACACTCTGTAAACATACGACTTCACCGCGTATTGACGCAGCGTGGGGAAGAAAAGTACCATAAAATGTTGTTAAATCAACGATCAAATGGCATTTGTGAACAGAAGTGGGTTTACTTCGGTTCCACGAATGTGGCAAATCCGTGTTTTGTAGGGGGTGTGTCGTTCTGCTCTGCTCTACGAAGCTAGCAAAACCAGCTGACTGCTGGCTTGGGCACCCACAGGAGAAATCTAATCGAGGCACAAATCTCACGCTTTTCCACAACTGATAAATAATTATACATATAAATTACAACATGCATATACAATAATAATTATTTTTTTGCATTTCGAGCATAACATTAAAATTGCATATACGTGTATGCATAAAAAGTGCATTTATTTAGACGAAATATACACACATGGCTACGGATATTTAGCGCCATTTTTCTTCGACACACGTCCACAATCTAGAAGAAATATCCATGCTGGCGAGTCCAGCTATAGTTCCCGAGACCCTATATGAGTATACATACCTTTCATATTGGTTGTCATGGCTTGACCTCACATGCATGTATCTTCCCCTAGAAAGACCCTAGCCGACCTAAATAAACGGCTTCTCGGATAGTCAACATCCGTACGGGCTAAAGTTCCAAAAATAACTTTTGTATTAATGCTAGCAGGTCACATACATTATCGAAAGCCTTATTAGCATTTAGGTTTCCTACGCTGAGAAATTTCTCTCTTGTCGTTATTCGATTCAGTTAAAAGGTTTCACTTTTAAATCGTTATAATTAATCTAAATACTATGTGAGATCGTGCGTATAACAAATAATAATCGAGTAATTGTCATATTTACTCGAGACTATTTGCTGTGCACTGATAACTGGAGCAAGTCGATGTGCTTCGGTCGGACATCCGCTAGATGTCGCTGTTCGCGCACATTGCATGCCAATCAAGAAACATACGTAGAAAGTTGGACTAACGTAATGGCTAGTGTGTTAGGGTTTGTTCGGTCGGTCATCGAACCCGAGAGGTTATCAGCGATCGTTCAAGTGATCTAGCATTGTATTTATAGTTAGTGTACAAGTAACGACACAGATGTTGGATGATACAATACGTAATTGATGCGAATGTCGTCCGATCGGATTCTGAGGCCAAATATTCCACATATTGACAGATCTAGACTAGGGCCATTCATGAAAATTATTCGTTCTGAATTTCAATTGAGTCTGTAGTGTGGCTTCAATTATATATATATGAGTAGTACGGTTCAGTGGTTTAAAGATTCATTCACGCGAGTGGTCCGATTCCCTTGTAATGTTTGTAAATTAATTTATGAATAGTAAATGTACAAACGTCACAGTAAACGTATACGTGATCTCGCACATATGGGGGCAATTATGGAAATACCGCCGATTAAAATTGTACATTAATATGTCTACACAGAGATCAATATATCCAATCAATTACAGATATCTACTAGAAACTAAAGATAACTCAAGATCTACATATTTGAACTTCATATATATATATCATTCTTCATTATAATTTTAATTAGATATCAACATTGATGTTTTAACATGTAGACATTTGCTCATTTGGAATATATTATTATTATACATATGGTTGAAACACACATATTACACATATAAGAACAAAATAGAAATGAAATTATATAGATTTTTTTTAATTTCAAATAAAGATTTTCAAATATTACAAGAACAAGATATATTTATATTATTAATTGAGATACTGATATTCACATGAATTCATATTTCAAATCCGTTACCACTAGTTAACTCTTAACTATTATTTGAACAATCAGGGCATTTCAAACAGATATGTCTTGCAACTGATAACCATAAAGCTAATTTACACCTGGTAAAACTTATAATGTCTAAAAATAATGTCATGTGTGTGTCACTAATGTCATGTGTGTGTGTGTCAGTAATGTCATGTGTGTGTGTGTCAGTTATGTCATGTGTGTGTGTCAGTTATGTCATGTGTGTGTGTATCAGTTAGGTCATATGTGTGTGTGTCAGTAATGTCATGTGTGTGTGTGTCAGTAATGTCATGTGTGTGTGTCAGTAATGTCATGTGTGTGTCAGTTATGTCATGCATGTGAGTGTATACGTAATGTCATGTATTTTTGTGTAAGCAATGTCATGTGTGTGGGTGTCAGTAATGTCATGTTTGGGTGTGGGTGTGTGTGATTCAGTAATGTCTTGTGTGTGAGTGTCAGTAATGTCATGTATTTGTGTGTCAGTAATGTCATGTGTATGTGTGTATCAGTTAGGTCATATGTGTGAGTGTCAGTAATGTCATGTGTGTGTGTATCAGTAATGTCTTGTGTGTGCATGTCAGTAATGTCATGTATGTGTGTGTCAGTAATGTCATGTGTGTGTCAGTAATGTCATGTGTGTGTGTGTCAGTAATGTAATGTGTGTGTGTGTGTCAGTAATATCATGTGTGTGTCAGTAATGTCATGCTTGTGTCAGTAATGTCATGTGTGTGTGTCAGTAATGTCATGTGTGTGTGTGTGTGTAAGCAATGTCATGTGTGTGTCAGTAATGTCATGTGTGTGTGTCAGTAATGTCATGTGTATGTGTGTGTCAGTAATGTCATGTGTGTGTGTCAGTAATGTCATGTGTGTGTGTGTGTGTGTGTGTGTGTAAGCAATGTCATGTGTGTGTCAGTAATGTCATGCATGTGTCAGTAATGTCATGTGTGTGTGTCAGTAATGTCATGTGTGTGTGTGTGTCAGTAATGTCATGTGTGTGTTTGTCAGTAAGGGCATGTGTGTGGGTGTCAGTATATGGTATTCGCCTTGTTTACTGAGATCACAATACCGATTTTGTAATGTTAAAATGCTATTTTTATATCAAAACGAAACAAATGACATTATTGATAGGTATCAGAGCTTCCCTGAAATCAAAGGCGATCAAGTTTACTGTTGCGCTGCCGCGCGATTCACCTTTACTCTGGGATCACAGGAATTCGTATCATACACAGCCAAGGTAGCACGTACACAGAATTTGATTCTGACATGAGAAAATATAATTAGGATACAGGGAATATTATGGGTTTTCAGACGAACCCTTAGACTTGAAAGATGAAGTTAACTCATTCACCCTGAAATTGCATACTGAACTATTCCAACCTATGAATAGAAAGAGTTCAAATGTGTCTTCAGGGGTGGATAAGTTGATAAAACTGTATTCACTTTATGCACAAACACTTGTACGTATTAAACGTGTACGATACGTTTAATACGTACATTGTTTGTGTATAAAGTAAATCTTTGATATTACGTATTTCGCAATCTGATGAATCTTATTGAAAATATTTCGTATGTATATAAGTTAACGTGGAGTTCCCGACCCCGGTAATACCGTACAGGAACAGAGGAGTACACAGACGTATTGTATACACGTGCACGCTGTATTCCTTAGAGATAGTGAATAAATAAAACAGGTTGTATTACAGGCACTGCTCGCTCAATTTCACATGTAAATCCAGGCATTATAACCTGAATAATAAGAACGAAGTGAGTGTTAGTAAAGTCTGAACGCTTTTATCATTGAAGTGAAGTGCGTGTACAATAAGTATCGTGTAACGAAAGCGAAACTAACAGTTATGTCGGTTTCATGTCACGTGACAAGGAACGCCACATCTGCTTTGTATCAAAAAATCCAAATTAGTGTCAAGATAACTCATATATGCTGCAGTTGTAATCTGGCGTGTTAAGAACAAAGTCCGGACGTGCCGAGTTCTTACACGTGCGGTGTTCTTACACGTGCATATCACACACGTATATACCACGGTCAAACGATCCACCAAACTGTTCATTGTTTACTGAGTATTACAGACAATAGTCGATCTGCGAATAACGTACACTGTACGTCAATATGACAATACGTGTATATTAGTAATAGAGTCCGCTGATATATTATCCGGTATGTATAATACAGACGTGTATATTTATAATAGAGGCCACTGAGATATTATCCGGTATGTACAATACAGACGTGTATATTTATAATAGAGTCCACTGAGATATTATCTGGTATGTACAATATAGACGTGTATATTTATTATAGAGGCCACTGAGATATTATCCGGTATGTACAATACAGACGTGTATATTTATAATAGAGTCCACTGAGATATTATCCGGTATGTACAATACAGACGTGTATATTAGTAATAGAGTCCGTTGAGATATTATCTGGTATGTACAATATAGACGTGTATATTTATTATAGAGGCCACTGAGATATTATCCGGTATGTACAATACAGACGTGTATATTTATTATAGAGTCCACTGAAATATTATCCGGTATGTGCAATACAGACGTGTATATTCATAATAGAGTCCACTGAGATATTATCCGGTATGTATAATACAGACGTGTATATTTATTATAGAGGCCACTGATATATTATCCGGTATGTACAATACAGACGTGTATATTTATAATAGAGGACACTGAGATATTATCCGGTAGGTACAATACAGACGTGTATATTTATTATAGAGTCCACTGAAATATTATCCGGTATGTACAATACAGACGTGTTTATTCCTAATAGAGTCCACTGAGATATTATCCGGTATGTACAATACAGACGTGTATATTTATAATAGAGTCCACTGAGATATTATCCGGTATGTACAATACAGACGTGTATATTTATAATAGAGTCACTGAGATATTATCCGATATGTACAATACAGACGTGTATATTTATAAAAGAGTCCACTGAGATATTATCCGGTATGTAAAATACAGACGTGTATATTTATAATAGAGTCAACTTCCATCCCAACCCAACCCCATCCACCTCTTCCATCCCGACCCCATCCACCGTAACCATCCCAACCCACCCACCTTTTCCGTCCCCAGCCCGACCTCCTCTTCTTTCTCCACCCCATCCACCTCCTCCATCCCAGCCCCATCCACCTCCTCCATCCAGCCCCCATCCACCTCCTGCATCCCAACCCCATCCACCTCCACCATCCAGACTCACCCACCTTTTCAATCCCTACCCCATCCACCTCTTCCATCACCACCCACCCCACCTTTTCCGTCCCTGCCCCATCCACCTCTTCCATCCCGTCCCACCCCACCTCTTTCGTTAACACCCCATTCATCCCCTCCATCCCAACCCCATCCACCTCTTTCGTCAACATCCCAACCACCTCCTCCATCCCAACCCCATCCACCTCCACCATCCCAACTCACCCACCTTTTCAATTCCTACCCTACCCACCTCTTCCATCCCCACCGCATCCACCTTTTCCGTCCCTGCCCCATCTACCTCCACCATCCCAACTCACCCACCTTTTCAATTCCTACCCTACCCACCTCTTCCATCCCCACCGCATCCACCTTTTCCGTCCCTGCCCCATCTACCTCCTCCATCCCAACTCACCCACCTTTTCAATTCCTACCCTACCCACCTCTTCCATCCCCACCGCATCCACCTTTTCCGTCCCTGCCCCATCTACCTCCACCATCCCAACTCCCCCTCCTTTTCAATTCCTCCCCTACCCACCTCTTCCATCCCCACCGCATCCACCTTTTCCGTCCCTGCCCCATCTACCTCCACCATCCCAACTCCCCCTCCTTTTCAATTCCTCCCCTACCCACCTCTTCCATCCCCACCGCATCCACCTTTTCCGTCCCTGCCCCATCTACCTCCACCATCCCAACTCCCCCTCCTTTTCAATTCCTCCCCTACCCACCTCTTCCATCCCCACCGCATCCACCTTTTCCGTCCCTGCCCCATCTACCTCCACCATCCCAACTCCCCCTCCTTTTCAATTCCTCCCCTACCCACCTCTTCCATCCCCACCGCATCCACCTTTTCCGTCCCTGCCCCATCTACCTCCACCATCCCAACTCACCCACCTTTTCAATTCCTACCCTACCCACCTCTTCCATCACAACCGCATCCACCTTTTCCGTCCCCACACCATCCACCTCCACCATCCCAACCCACCCACCTTTTCCGTCCCTGCCCCATCCACCTCTTCCATCCCCACCCACCCCACCTCTTTCGGTAAAACCCCATTCACCCCCCCCATCCCAACCCCATCCACCTCTTTCGTCAACATCCCAACCACCTCCTCCATCCCAACCCCATCCACCTCCACCATCCCAACTCACCCACCTTTTCAATCCCTACCCCATCCACCTCTTCCATCACAACCGCATCCACCTTTTCCGTCCCCACACCATCCACCTCCACCATCCCAACCCACCCACCTTTTCCGTCCCTGCCCCATCCACCTCTTCCATCCCCACCCACCCCACCTCTTTCGTTAACACCCCATTCACCCCCTCCATCCCTACACTAACCACCTCCTCCATCCCCACCCCTCATTTACCTCTTTCGTTAACACCCCAACCACCTCCACCATCCCCACCCCTCATCCACCTCTTCCGTCCCAGCGAGGACATTTTCGTGGAAACACCCTTATTATTCCAAAAGGGGCCGTGCACCACCATCCCCACTACGCCATCCCCACCCCACCATCCCCATGGCTGGTGTCTGCACCACTACCTGACAGGTACCAATACACCCTGTATATCAAAACTCTAACATAATATCTTCAAATGATAAACAAATGGTCGTGTCGCACATTACGGCACAGACACACCTTTAGAGATAATATAGGGACATTTCTGTTTCGTTCAGACCTGACAGTATACAGATACCTTTCCCACTATCAGACGGTATTACAGGGTCGTCCGGTCAGACAGCGGCACGCTGAGATAAGGCCGTATAACAGGTACAATCGATAGGTGAAAAAGTACACATACCAAAATTGAGTTATTATTGAAATTAAGCTAAATCTCATAGATACCTGTGTTTCTAATAAGCACGCCTATACCAAAATGGTTTCTGTTCCTACATTAAAATGGTGATACATGTTTGCTATCACTTACCTGGAAGGGTAATTGACGATGAAGTATATAGCTTGTACTTTTTATGAACCGATACAGGGAATATTTACCACGTATCTGCCCTGATGTAATACAGTAATACAGTCAATACACGAACCCATGTTAAATTAAGTTTTCATTTTATCTCATCAAATAGCACCATTGTCAAACGTCAGAATAAGGTCAATACATGTCACGGCACCGTAACGTCACACTTAACACAGTTTTTTTTATAAATTTAGTTTTGACGTAAAGATGGCGGCGTTAAAAATTAGAAAGCCATTAGTTTGATTTTTGATTAAGGCTGAACGTGGTGTACCCCATCACGTGGAGATACTTAAAAGTCAGTGTAATGAACGTAAATTGTTCAACTATATCCCAATTATAGATCTATCTGTACAATGCCGACCTATAACTCAATATGTACAATGCCGAACTATAACTCAATCTGTACAATGCCGAACTATAACCCAATCTATACAATGCAGACCTATAAATCAATCTATACAATGCCGAACTATAACTCAATCTGTGCAGTGCCGGAATATAGATATATCTGTACAATGCCGAACTATATATCAATCTGTACAATGCCGAACTATAACTCAATCTGTACAATGCCGACCTATAACTCAATTTTTACAATGCCGAACTATATCTCAATCTGTACAATGCCGAACTATATCTCAATCTGTACAATGCCGAACTATAACTCAATTTATACAATGCCGAATTATATCTCAATGTATACAATGCCGAACTATATCTCAATCTGTACAATGCCGAACTAAATCTCAATCTATACAATGCCGAACTATAACTCAATCTGACACTTCACAGTTTAATAACAATACATTACACACTTTCGGGATCTCGTAAAGTGCCAATGAACTCGCCCAACGCTACAGGGGTATTGTATAAATAAGAGTACAGTATGTTTGTCTGCGGTACACAATGTGCAGTATTACAAATGCGCAGTATTCGTAGGGGGGGGGGGGGGCATATCATGTGATGCACCAGTGCATGTGTGTGGGTGGTGCACCAGTGCATGTGTGTGGGTGGTGCGGAACAATATAGGTTTGTATGTATATGGTTCATTCTGTGTCATATGAAGTGGGGCGCTTTTTGACACACCGTTTGAAAGAAAGGAGCAGAAATGTGCGAAAAGAAAAGATGAAGATACGAAGTAGTGGGGGCAGCAGATCTATTTCGGTTTCTTCACCGTACTTACTTATTACAGTCGCCTCTTACGACACGCAGTTAAATACTAAAATCAAAATTCAGGTTGGCTGACTGTCGGTCATCCTGTTTTTCCAATCAGTCCCAAAATAAAACACAATGGTTTCGTTTGGTTTAATTTGATAAACGTCCTATTAACAGCTAAGTGCATTTAAGGACGTGCATCCATGTGTGTTGTGTATGCGTGCTATGTGTGTATGAGGCAGGGTATGTTGTGTGCTTGCCTCCTTGCGATAGCGCAGAGCCGATGCCGACTTTATAGTGCTATCTCACTGAAATACCATGCTGAAGGCACAAAGCACAGCATTCCGCCTGGTAACATTATACTGACAATGGGTGAACCATTTGTTGCCATTACCCTTAATGCTGAACGTTAAGGGACAGAACCCATTGCCTTCCTCACCTGGGCGAACGCTCGATCTTAAAACCAAAAGTGGGGTATTGTCAAGCAAGGTTCTAGGAAATAAGGGATTGTTAGAAGTAGAGAGAAAACAACCCGAATGGACCAAGGGGAATATTAATTAATACAATATGAAATTTGAGAATGATATGTCAAGTACTTTTTCAGAAATAGCGATAACAATCTTGAACTTTCAAAATCAAAGATGGCTTCCAGACGGCTATCTTGTTTTTCCTGATTAGGCAAAAAATAAAAAAATGCACAACTATGTAACAAGAGAGATCCGTTCGGTTCTTTTCGAGAAATAGCGATAACAAGGATGTTTAAGGATGGACGGACGGACGGACCACGGACGAAGGGCGATTTGATCAGCCCACCATCTGACAATGCTTGACTGAACACTAGTAGAATTGAACTGAACCTACTCTCAAAGGAACTGAAGACACTTTTATTGGAGATACCGCCAATTTAATTAAATCAAAGATGTCTGCAATTAAAGTGTACCCGTCTTTAATAACTTGAATATTATATAAATCGCGTCCCACAGCAGTCAGAGGTTATTTCTCCTAGTTTCCCATAACTGGTATTTCGTCACTCACTGAGCGGTATTTCTTTCATATCTGAAATAGGTTTCTTCATTCTGAGCCATTGGTTGTTTGGGCAATCTTAGCCACCTGCGTTGTAATTTGTTGGATGAAATAACATAACGGCGTTTACTTTGTTCTGAAATGTAACTTGATGCATATGTCTATCACAGAAGACACACACTATCGTACATTATAAATCATAATAAATCACACCTCGTTTCTTACAGATACTCTACCTGTCACTCACACTTACCACCAATACTGTGACATGCTGTCACTCATACGCCCATGTATCAATTATATAAGTACACATAGTATCACAAAGAGCTCGTCATGATACACATATCTATAGAGATGCACACTCTATCTATATGCACTAGGGCTTGTTTTATTGGGAGTGGACGTCCCTGCATCAGCCAGGATTGTATATTTACATTCCACTGCAAATTCTTCTATAACTCCAACAACCCAGGTGGAGTATAACATTGTCCGGGGTGGATGTTGCGGTATCTGTGCTGTAGCAGTCAAGTGAGGTGGTATATATAAATGATGCTGTTGGAAGCACGGTCCCACTACAAACAGAACACAATACATTTCCAGCACACACGCAGGCATATACACATAGGGAGATATTAGCCAGGTGGCATATGACTAGGCGTTAGCGTCAGAGCAGCTTCTGCGAATTCCTCAGAATTGTATTGATTAATGTATTATACTACATTGTTTTTTGTTTTTATGTTTGTAATTGTATCGATTGTATAAATTGTATATCTGTATACTGTAAAGCGCTTTAGAGTGGCTTATTCTAGTTATATAGGGTGCTATATCAAATGTTCTATATTATTATTAATTATTATTATAAGCATTGCCAAAAGAAATTGCAATACATAGGGCTGTGAACGCAATTGGATCAGCGTCGTTTTGAAACTTCTCCCCCTGCCTCGATTAACATGAGACAGCCGTTAGAAGTAAACATTTTGATGACGTTAGGTTGCCAGGAATCTCGTTTGCATTGACGACAGAGACACTTGAATATCGAAAATATAAGGGAATCTTTCTATTTAGGTCAATAATAACTAAAAATATACAATGGAAATAAAAGGATTTAACAGTATTTTTCAATATACATGCCGGTATGAAATTGTGAAAAAATACCATTCAATCCTTATATGAAAGGATGCATAGGGCGATAACGGGAAGAGTCGGGAAGCGAGACAGAAAAATAGATATAAAGAGTCGGGAAACGAGACAGAAAAATAGATATAAAGAGTCGGGAAGCGAGACAGAAATATAGATCTAAAGAGTAGGGAAGCGAGACAGAAATACAGATTAAAGAGTAGGGAAGGGAAACAGAAATATAGATCTAAAGAGTAGGGAAGGAAGACAGAAATATAGATCTAAAGAGAAGGGGAGGGAGACAGAATTATAGATCTAAAGAGTAGGGAAGGAAGACAGAAATATAGATCTAAAGAGTAGGGAAGGGAGACAGAAATATAGATATAAAGAGTAGGGAAGGAAGATAGAAATATAGATCTAAAGAGAAGGGAAGGGAGACAGAAATATAGATCTAAAGAGTAGGGAAGCGAGACAGAAATACAGATTAAAGAGTAGGGAAGGGAGACAGAAATATAGATCTAAAGAGTAGGGAAGGGAAACAGAAATATAGATCTAAAGAGTAGGGAAGGGAGACGGAATTATAGAACTAAAGATAAAGAGAAGGGAAAGGAAGACAGAAATATAGATCTAAAGAGTAGGGAAGCGAGACAGAAATATAGATCTAAAGAGTAGGGAAGGGAGACGGAATTATAGAACTAAAGAGAAGGGAAAGGAAGACAGAAATATAGATCTAAATAGTAGGGAAGCGAGACAGAAATACAGATTAAAGAGTAGGGAAGGGAGACAGAAATATAGATCTAAGGAGTAGGGAAGGGAGACGGAATTATAGATCTAAAGAGTAGGGAAGGGAGACGGAATTATAGAACTAAAGAGAAGGGAAAGGAAGACAGAAATATAGATCTAAATAGTAGGGAAGCGAGACAGAAATACAGATTAAAGAGTAGGGAAGGGAAACAGAAATATAGATCTAAAGACTAGGGAAGCGAGACAGAAATATACATCTAAAGAGTAGGGAAGGAAGACAGAAATATAGATATAAAGAGTAGGGAATTAACACAGAATTATAGATCCAAAGAGTAGGGAAGCGAGACAGAAATATAGATCTAAAGAGTAGGGAAGCGAGACAGAAATATAGATCTAAAGAGTAGGGAAGGGAGACAGAAATACAGATTAAAGAGTAGGGAAGGGAGACAGAATTATAGATCTAAAGAGTAGGGAAGGGAGACAGAAATATAGATTAAAGAGTAGGGAAGGGAGACAGAAATACAGATTAAAGAATAGGGAAGGGAGACAGAATTATAGATCTAAAGAGTA